TGTTTAACCAAAAGATTGAACAATAAATTTGTAGTAGACAGGATGTCGGAGAATTTTGTGTATTAGAGTTCGAGTCCGAATTTTACAAAGTAGACCGCACCTAATAGTCTGGACAGTTCCCAAGCTACTCAGTTCGTTGCGAGCTAATAAAGGTGTGTAAAATTTTTCGGTGTTTTCTGGTCGGTGGTGACCTCCTGGCGAACTCTCTGTCAGAATTAGAGACATGAACGGTAATGCTCTGGATCCCTTGTACTCTTTCTAGAGAAATGGAATATCAATAGTCACATCACGTTGTATTCCTACAAGGTTGAGGGTACATCCTATGTTTTATTAACTGTAGTTACCGAATCGGACTCACGTTTAACCAGACCGCGGTTGCTGTTTGAGTTGGGCTTTACTGTTTGCGGGCTGCAAATTGTTTAGCCGCAGAATCTAATGGCCGCATGTCTAGGCCCAACAAATATCATACCTTATACTGTTTTATGAGTTTTTGGTAACGGGTCTTTGCCCTTGTGTTATCTTCTAAATAGCTCAGTTCCCCGACCTGAAATATTGAAATATGAATACTAAATTTAAAATAAAGTTTCATGTGTATGTGTATGTGTTTTTGTTAAAATTGCAAGAGACATGATCTATCAACATAATCCCTTACTTTGTGAAATTATTTTGTTCCTACAACGTGATGCATCCTCCTCGCTCCGATACTTGATTTTTATTTTTCCCGGTTCTAGTTTTTTTCTTCTGCAAAAATAAATAAATAAAGCTCATGAGACTAAAGTTGCTTGGTCTAGTCACTAGTGATCAGTAGGGTTTTTAATCCAAGATTATCGAGGAGGGGTTCAATATATTTTTACTTTAGTTGAATTTAGAAATAGGAATACAAATGAAACGTGACACTTATAAAATGGAAAATTAGTAGTATAATTGTTATATGGATTTGGAAACTTTATAGTACGAGATTAAAAAAAAAATAAAAAATTTGAGAAATCTAAAGGAAATTAAGGTACCTTGCTCTCTTTAACCGGCTTATGGTTATGGTAAAATCCATTATTGTATGTGTTCAACTGTGCTGTTGTTCCGTTGTGATGAGTCGGGTTCCCATGATCAACCCCAAGTCCACCAGAAACTAACTCCCATCGTATGTTTGCTTCATCGTCTAAGTTTTCCTCTAAGCTTGTCTCTTTAACACGAGTCGATTCGACCATCTTGCGCCCTTCTTCTTCTTTGGAGGACATTTTGTTGTTACTATATGACCTAAGTTCTAACTAGCTAGCTACTATGATTGTTGCTTTGCCGATTATGGAAGGAGATGATGCATATGCTTAGTGATAAGGTAAACATGAAATGTTTTAAGAAAAAGTAATGTGGAGATATATATTTAGGGAATCCAATATATTTGGCTTTGGAATAAGATTCCTATATGTCAACTATATTCCAGATATCAACTACTCAACTAATGGTCTTAATTGTAGTGATCAATCATGGTCTTCATCGAATATATATATATTAAAGGGTGATTAACACATATAGACACTTTCACTTTGAACTTATTCTTTCAAAATAATCACTTTACAAAGAGTGCATACTCTTTTCATGTACAAAATATTTTTTAATACTATAGTCCGTCTTTCTACAAAAGCAACTTAAGAGTTCAGAGAAAAAGAAATTAGAGGATATCTAGTTATAAAAGCAATTTAAAATTTTTTAAACTATCAAAAATTATTCGTAAAAATATAATTTTACAACGAATCATATCAAATAAAATTATATTTAATTTTGTATTGAAAATATCAACTAATTTGAAAAAAAAAAATTCTATAAAAAATCGATTAAAATGATACAGATGAAATATACATGTTTTGTATTACATAATTAAACTATACTACATAAACAAAAAAAACCGAGGCTATGTTGGAGACATATCTCATAAAAACATCTACGTTATTGAAGACGTTGAATGCATTAAATTAAACCAAGGTGTGTATGTATGTACCTTTCATTTATTAAGAAACGTTTAATTGACTTATCTTACAGGGCCTACTTCGTGTCGTGCATACACACCAAATTTATTAACGAACGTATATTTTAACTTTTAGTTTACATGGACTACTTTGAAATAAAAAAACCGAGGCTTTGAAATTTATTAGTTGTTATTCTATATTTAATTTTTTGTTTCATATTATTTATCATTCTACAATTTCAATACATATTTATGACTAATTTTTCTATTTTTATTTCTACTTTTAAATTTATTAACCACACATATCAAATAAAATAATGTATTAATTAGAGATAAAACAAAAAAATAATTATTTTTTTAATTTATGTGAAAAGTTTCAGAATGACAACTAAATTAAAACGGAAAAAGTAATAAATGGAATAATTAATGTTGGCCTAATAAATAAAATGACCACACGTAACGTGAGTCTATACATAAGTTTCCATCCTCATCCTCAACATGAGAAGGACTCATTTGGATACTAATATTCTAGTATAACTCCAACACGAGCTTTCGTTATATATAATCATATTGATGGTAGATAAATCTAAAATAAACGGTTATGATATGTACGTTATACCATAAATGCATTAAGTTTCTACACTCGCAAGTGTCCAACACGATCATTCATTTTCAAAAATATATGTTTAAGAAAAATTCTCCTTACTCTTCCTATGGATAAAAACCATAATCTCGGTCGTTCCTCTGATC